CTTTATATTGAGATGTAATCCATACTGCAGACTGTATTCTTCAATCTTCATCAGTAAGTGCCTCAAGTCATCCTCACTTTCAGCAAGCAAAGTTGAGTCATCAGCATATCACAGGTTGTTAATGATTCTTCCTCCAATCCTAACGCCATGTGCTTCATATAGTCCAGCTTCTCAGATTATTTGCTCAGCATACAGATTGAATTAAGTGTAGAGAAAGGATACAACCCTGACGCACTCCCTTCCTGATTTTAAACCATGCAGTGTCCCCTTGTTCTGTTCACACGACAGCCTCCTGGTCTACGTACAGGTTCCTCATGAGTACAATTACGTGTTCGGGAATTCCCATTCTTCTCAATGTTATTCATAATTTGTTATGACCCACACAATCAAATGCTTTTGCATTGTCAATAAAACACAACTAAACATCTTTCTGTTATTCTTTGCTTTGAGCCAGGATCCATCTGACATCAGCAATGATATCTCTTGTTCCACGTCCACTTCTGAATCCAGCTTACATTTTTGAAAGTTCTCTGCCAATATATTGCTGCAACCATCTTTGAGTTATCTTCAGTAAGATTTTACTTTTGTGTGATATTAATGATATTTTTCAATAATTTCCACATTCTGTGGGATCAACTTTCTTTGGAATGGGTACAATTCCAAAGTTGGCCAGGTGAGCTGTCTTCCAAATTTCCCGGCACAGCCAAGTGAGCGCTTCTAGTGTGGCATCTGTTTGTTGAAATATCTCAATGGGTATTTCGTCAATTCCTGGAACCTTATTTTTCACCAATTCCTTCAGAACAGTTTTGACTTCTGCCTTCAGTACCATTGGTTCTTGATCATATGCCAGCTCCTGAAATGGATGAACATTGACCAATTCTTTTTGGTACAGTGACTCTGTGTATTCCCTCCATCTTCTTTTGATGTTTCCTGAATCATTTAATATTTTGCCCATAAAATCTTTCAATATTGCAACACGAGGCTTAAATTTTTTCTTTAGTTCTTTCAGCTTGAGAAATGCTGAGTGTGTTCTTCCCTTTTGGTTTTCTAACTCCAGGTCTTTGCACATTTCATTATAATAATTGGCTTTGTCTTTTCAAGCTGCTCTTTGAAATCTTACTTTCAGCTCTTTTATCTTGTCATTTCTTCTATTTGCTTTAGCTACTCTCCACTCAAGGGCAAGTTTCAGAGTCTTTTCTGGAATCCATTTTGGTCTTTTCTTCTTTCCTTTCTTTTTAATGACTTTTTGCTTTCTTCTTGGATGATGTTCATGATGTCATCCCACAATTCTTCTGGTTTTCAATCATTGATGTTCATCAAGTATATTCCTTAGATGGTCTCTAAATTCAGGAGGGATATTATCAAGGTCATATTTTGGCTCTTGTGGATTTAATAGTTTAATTTGTTTCAACTTCAACTTGAACTTGCATATGAGCAGTTGATGGTCTGTTCCACCATCAGCTTCTGGCCTTGTTTTGGCTGAACATATTGAACTTCTGCACCACCTCTTGCCACAGATGTAGTCAATCTGATTCCTGTGTATTCCATCCAGTGAAGTCCATGTGTATAGCCATCATTTATGTTGTTGAGAAAACGTATTTGCAATGAATAAATCGATGGTCTTGCAAAATTCTATTAGGCAATCTCCTGCATTATTTCTGTCACCAAGGCCATATTTTCAACTATCAGTGACTCTTCTTTGTTTCCAACTTTTGTGTTCCAGTCACCAGTGATAATTAACACGTCTTGATTACATGTTTGGTCAATTCCAGACTTCAGAAGTTGATAAAAGTCTTCAATTTCCTCATCTTTGGCTTTGGTGGTTGGTGAGTAAATTTGAATAATAGTCGTATTAACGGGTCTTCCTTGTAGGTGTATGGATATTATCCTGTCACTGACAGCATTGTTCTTCAGGACAGATCATAAAACATCCTTTGTGATGATGAATGGCACACCATTCTTCTTCAAATTTGTCATTCCCAGCATAATAGATCATATGGTTGTCTGATTCAAAATGGCCAAAACCAGTCCATTTCATCTCACTAACACCTAGGATATCAATCTTAATGCATTCCATTTCACTTTTGACAACTTCCAATTTTCCTAGATTCATACTTTGTGCATTCCATGTTTCAGTTATTGATGGATGTTTGCAGCTGTTTCTCCTCCATTTGAGTCATGCCACATCAGCAAATGGAGGTCCTGAAAGCTTCACTTTATCCATATCATTAAGGTTGGCTCTACTCTGACAAGGCAGCTCTTTCCCAGTCATATTTTGAGTCATATTTTGAGTCCCTTCTGACCTAAGGGACTTGTCTTCCTGCACTGTATTGGACAATGTTTCTGGGCTAATCATAGTGTTGCCCAGTAATGTATCAGACAGTGTTTCTCTGCTATTCATAGGTTTTCCCTGGCCAATTCTTTGAAAATTGGATGGCCTCTTCCTTCTTCCTAGTCTGTCTCAGTCTATAAG